TAATGTCGCTAAAATCCGAATATCGGAAGGTACCTTTATATGGGGGCTATACGAAGACGTGGACCTGCACAGAAAATTTTCTGTCATAGACTATAGTATCTATTGTGAACATCAAATACCAAATTTAAAACAATTCCGGTGAATAATGTCGCTAAAATCATCAAATTACCGAATATCAGGAGGTACCGTTATATGGGGGCTATAAGAAAACGTGGACCTGCACAGACAATTTTCTGTCATAGACTGTAGCATCTATTGCGAACTTCAAATAGTAAATTTGAAATAGTTGCGGTGAATAATGTCGCTTAAATCATCAAAATACCGAATATCGAGAGGTACCCTTATATGGGGGCTATACAAAGACGTGGACCTGCTCAGATAATTTTCTGTCATAGGCTGTAATGTACATTACGAACTTCAAATACCAAATTAGAAATGATTCCGCTGAATAATGTAGCTAAAATCATCAAAATACCGAATATCGGGAGGCACCCTTATATGGGGGCTATAGCAAAACGTGGACCTGCTCAGATAATTTTCTGTCACAGGCTGTAGTATCCATTGCGATCTTCAAATACCAAATTTGAAATGAGTCCGGTGAATAATGTAGCTAAAATCAACAAAGAACCGAATATCGGAAGGTGCCGGTTAATGGGGGCTACACGAAAACGTGGACCTGCACCGACAATTTTCTGTCTTAGGTTGTAGCATCCATTACGAACTTCAAATACCAAATTTGAAACATTTCCGGTGAGTATCGGGAGGCAGCCTTATATGGGGGCTATACCTAAACGTGGACCTACATGGCCCATTTTCAATGCCAAAAGTTCTGCAGACATAATATACATTTGAGTAAAATTTTATCAATCTACTTCAATTCGGTCGTAAGCTAGAGTGATTTCCATAGACAGAATTTCAATGGCTTTACCACGAGCTCATTTTTCAATATTTGCCGAATGGAATATAGCGATGTGTTCAGTTCACGAGCCGTTTTTCGGCCACTGTGACGGGGGTTTCGAACAAGTCGTTACGAACTGAATTACAAACTTAATATACCCCCTTATGCTATGGTGGAGGGTATGAAAAATCAACGATAGTTAAACTTTTAAACAAAAGATTTTTAAAAATCCACATTAATTTTCTATTCGAAATTTTTCGTATTCCCGACAACTTGTAAAATTTCATTTGGATTTTCTATTTTGCATTTTACAAATGTCATAATTTATTATTTTTATTTTATTATTTATTATTATTTTATTTCTTATTATTTTATTTATTATTATATTATTTATTATTGTTCTGACAATCCCACCATAGGTGTGTCGATGTGACCCTGTATTCATTTACCATGACACCCTGTATGTTAATGATCAGCTGTTTACAAATTGTAACACTCACCCAGATGTGATAGCAAAGCGAGTATGCGTTGCCAACCTAATACTGAGCAAACAGGGTGACATAGCTTTAAGGGGATTTTATTATTTTCTTATCATGCTTCAATATTTACTTCATTCTTATTTACTTAAATTAATTAAAAAATTCGTTTGGTTTTTTAATTTTAAACTAAAAACGAGTTAAAAAGTATCAGTCGATTTTGCCGACAGATGTATAACCTCCTCAGCTAATGTTCGGTTATTTAAATATATTTTGGCTTCTCTTATTATTATTCAAAATGTTTACCCTCTATGGAGTAGGTCCGGAAGGAATGGACCAATATTATCCATTGTCCAAATTCCATATTCATCTCAGATTTCGGTTTGGGAAAAATATTAAGATATAGCAAGTTGTAAGGAATCACTGAAAGATAAAAGCATTGAGAATAGTCGCCCTTTGTGGGTGAGGTACCAGAAGAGGTTCGCAGAGAGATACCATCTTTACAACAAATCTTGTGTTAGCAAAAATATTTGTGTGTGCGTAAAATTTGAGGAGAGTTGGATGCTTATTTGGCTTTCTTTGAGCATTTTGCTTTTCAAAACCTTGAACCCTATATGTGGAAGGTACCAGAAGGAAAAGCCCGATACCTACCATCTTTATAACAGATCTTGTGTTGATGGAAATATTGAGATGTACCAAGTCTGAATGGAATCGGATGTTAATTTCGCGTTTTATGAGTTTCGTAGATATTCAAAACTTTGACCCTTTGTGGGAGGTATCAGAAGGAGTGGGCCGATATATCATCTTCACACCATACCTTGTCTTAGTAGAAAGTATGGGATGTGTGAAATATGAAGAGAATCGGATGCTTATTTCGGATTTTATAATCGTTTTGGTCATTCAAAACTATGACCCCTTGTGGGGGAGGTATCAGAAGGACTGGTCCGATCACTACCATCTTTTCAGATCTTGTGTTGATGGAAATATTGAGATGTGCCAAGTCTGAATCTAATAGCTTAATAATTTTGCGTTTTATGGGCTTCATGAGTATTCAAAATTTTGACCCTTTGTGCGGGAGGTACCAAAAAGAGTGGACCGATAAATCCCATCTTCACACCAGACCTTGGGTTAATAAAAATATTGTGATGTGGGAAATTTGAAAAGAATCAGATATTTATTTCGCGTTCTACGAGCTTCATGGCCATTTTAAATTCTGATCCTTTGTGGGGGATGTATCAGAAGCAGTGCTCTGATATATCCCATCTTAACAGCAGAGTATGTGTTAGTAGAAATAATGCGATGTGGGGAATATGAAGAGAACCAGATGCTTATTTCGGACTTTTTTAATAGTTTTGGCTATTCACAAGTTTTTACCCTCCGTGTGGGAGATACCAGAAGGAGTGGACCGATATATTCCATCTTCACACCAGACCTTGGGTTAATAAAAATATCGTGGTGTGTGTAATTTGAAGACAATCGAACACTTATATCACAATTTATAAGAGTTATAATTATTTAACATTTTGACCCTTTGTGGGGGAGGGAATTGATGGAGTGGACTGATATTTTCCATTTTCGCACCTGACTTAGCAATGATGCAAATATTAGGATTTGCAAAGTTGGAGCAAAATCGGATCATCCCTTCTCTTTTGGTCCAGTAAAATATTTTTTTTTTTTTGAAAATTCCGACCTTTTGTGGGGGAGTTATCAGAAGAGGAGGACCAATATTGTCCATATCCGCACTCGATCTAAGTTAGATAACGATATTACGATGTACCAAGTTTGGATGAAATCGGGTATTATCTTCGAGAGTTCACCAGCCATACAGACGAGATCGACTTCAAATGTCCTGAAAGGTATTTGATCCAAAGAGACCTAGGGCTAAAATCGTTTTTTCGATGAGGCACGTTTTGGCCATATCAAATGATATAACTCAGCATTTGCAAGTGTGTGATAGCAAAAATTTTGAGTCATATGCAAAATGACAATTTTGACATACACAAGGAAATACATATGAATAATAAATTGACAGCACAGATGTAAAACCCTTATAGCAGCTTAACTTCTGCACATGAAAGATTTGACATTACATATTTCTACTTTTGGTCTAGTAGAAAAATTTCAGGCGACTTACTTTGATCTCCCAACTCATATTGTCAATTTTAAATAGTAAATGCATTAGCAAGGGCTTTTCCGAAACAGCTGATATTTTCGGCGATTTTTAATTATTTTGTTATTTTTATTCATTGGAATGCCAGTGACTTTTTTTTGCTTAAAATCCCAACTCTTTAAGAAAAAACAGATATATTCTCAATTTAAAATAATAAATACTTTTTAAATATTAGGTGTGTCTGGTTACTTTTCCTGCAGAAATTGTCCAGTAACTTCTTTCTGAGAGAGTAAGGTAGTTTTATTCTCTTTTGCAAGGAAAATTTGAAAAGTAAACAGACGGTATTCCTGCAGAAGATTGCAACTAATCAGCTGATTTGTCAAAACAAACCAATTTGTCCCCCATAAGGAGAATTAAAACAAAGGAAGCAATACTAATTTTACAAGTTTTTTAAATAAAAATGTTGGAAATAGTCTTTTATTTCCTTATTACATATTAATATTTACGTTTTCCACATTTTTTAAAGTTTTTCTCCAAAAACAATTAGTCTTTCAAGTTTCAAAAAAAATATTTTCAAATTAAAAGCACAAAAAAAAATAAACAAACAATAGAAAACATCTGATTGAATGTCGATAAATGAGAAGAAGAAGAGTTGCAAGTGATTGCAAGAAGAAATTTTTCCAGCAAGAATTTGCAAACTCTCACTGAAAGAACTGTCAAAATTTCTCTCTCCAACCGCTCTCTTTTGCAGAACTTTTGGGTTAACAGACGACTTCCAGTAACAATTTGTAACAATTGTTACAAACTTTAGGGTAACCAGACACACCTATTATTTACAACAATTAACAATGGTTTTTGCGAAACAGCTGATATTTTTGGCGATTTTCAATTATTTTGTTATTTTGAATGCCAGTGACTTTTTTGCTTTAAATCCCAACTCTTTATATAAAATCGGATTTATACTCAATTTAAAATAATAAATACTTCTCAAATATATTTTATTAATTTTATTCCAACAATTAACAAGGGCTTTTGCGAAACAGCTGATATTTTCGGCGATTTTCAATGATTTTGTTATTTTGGCGGTTTTCATTGGAATGCCAGTGACTTTTTTGCTTAAAATCCCAACTCTTTAAGAAAAAAAAACTGATATATTCTCAATTTAAAATAATCAATGCTTTTCAAATATTATTTATTTATTTTTTTACAACAATTAACATTTTTGGCGATTTTCAATGATTTTGTTACTTTGGCGGTTTTCATTGGAATGCCAGTGGCTGTTTTGCTTAAACTCCCAACTCTTTATAAAAAAATCAAATTTGTACTCAATTTAAAAGAATAAATACTTTTCAAATATTATTTATTTATTTTTTTGCAACAATTAACAAAGGTTTTTTGCCAAACAGCTGATATTTTTTGCGATTTTCCATGATTTTGTTATTTTGGCTGTTTTTGTCGCAATGCCAATGATTTTTTTGCACAACTCAATTGGCCACACTTTATTCCCATCGTATTTGACAGCTAGAGACATCAAAGTGAATTTGCGATTTTTTTTCTGTCTAGGTGTTCGATTGTTTTTGGATTTGGTTTTTTTGTTCTTTGCAAGGATTTGTGGATTTAAACAAAAAAACACATCCAAACGTAATCAATTTTGTTTAATTAAACAACAACAGCGAGACACTTGTTGACGAGTGCCGTCGTTTGACTCTCTGAGAAACAAAAGAATTGTTAAATATCCTGAAAACAAGGCGAAACTGAGCAGAGCACCAGCAGCAGCAGAGTATATTTTGCATGAAAGTGTTTGGAAGTGAAGTGGAGAGTGATTGCGGCCGCAGCAGACATGTCGAAACCTGGTCAAAATATTGTAAGTGACGAGCCATTGATGCGTTGCCTACCTACATATGTTGGGCATTGTCCATATTATTATTTAATAGTATTATTAACATGAAAACATTAAAGCTGTGGCTGTGAGTGTTGCCGGCATCCTGAATTTAGTGTGTGCGGTTGTGTGTGTGCGTGTTCTATATTGTACAATGCAGAAAAATGCAAGAGATGCGATTGCTGACTTGTGACCTGTAACCGGCAGACATTGAGCCACCAAGGCAGAAGATGGGTTTGTTTTGCATGCGCAATCAAATCGGAACAGAACTGCTCAATATATATGCTTTTCATAAACTTTTGTGATATTTGAGGAAGATGAGAAACAAACGTATTGCAGATTTGTTAAACATATCAGGAAATTTGGAACCACTTGATTTAGTTAGGGACGGACTCCATTGCTGATGTTAGCAAATGTAACCCTAAGTGTGTCCGATTTGTAATTACATACTATATGAGATTTTAGGGGGAACATCAATATTTCCCAAGATATGAACCGGTGTATTCTTGTGAAGTTATTTAACTCCAGATCCTAACAGATTAGGGTAAGAATAGAAAATCACTTCAATATATATATTCTCTTCATATTATTAGTTCTTTGTTAAAGATAAAATCTCTCATTGCAGATGTGGTTAATTTAGCCCTGTGCCACAAGGAGCGCATACATATTATAACTATATGAGATTTTAGGTGGAAAAATCAATATTTTCCAAGATGTGGACTTCAAATTTTCTATAAGTAAGTTTTACTGACCGATCAAAACTATTTTCCCAAGGAATTCCCTTTTTACGAGACATGAACCTTCAGAACAAACACCTTCAAATCAAAATCTCCAACATATATATGGACCCGGTTATTTGATTTTTGATCGGCATAGATAATAAGGATATAATTTGCTTATCCATTCAACTGGTTCTAATTCTCATATCACTGGCTTCAGAAAATATATTAACTGTGAATGTCACTATTATAGGAAGGCCAGTGTGTCGGCTATCATTAGGAATGCATATGTGAAACACCATCGCAATAAAAACGATTAAATTTATTTTTATACCCTCCACCATACTATGGAGGGTATATTAACTTTGTCATTCCGTTTGTAACTCCTCTAAATACTCTAAATGTCATACCCAACAAAGTATATATTCTCGATCAGCGTAAAATTCTATGTTGATTTAGCGATGTCGGTCTGTCTGTCCGTCTGTCTGTTGTAATCACGCTTTCTTTCGAACGAATTGAGATAGAAGGCTAAAATTTTGCAGACATGTTTTTTTCCAGTAGGCAGGTTAAGTTCGTAAATGGGCCATGTAGGTCCACGTCTTCGTATAGTCCCCATATAACGGTACCTCCCTATATACGACATTTTGATGATTTAAGCTACATTATTCACCGTTTATTTCAAGTTTTGAATTTGAATATGGTAATGGCTTATGACAAATAATGCCTATGTAGTCCAATATAACGGCTATATTCCGTATTTTTAAAATTTTAAGAGATTTTTTTAAGGATTTTATTTTTTGAAATTTTACAAAATTCGTTCCAAATGGTGGAGGGTATTCAAAATTCGGCTCGCCCGAAATTACTGCTTTTGACTTGTTATTAACTAAAGTTCTTTCCTCCTGATTTAAATACTTTCATTTATGCCCTGATTCCGACAACAATGACTAGGCAAAAAAAAACTAAATTTGTTAACAGAAGTCTTTGCTTTTAGCCATGGACCGATTTCGCAATTTATGTTTCATTGTCCAACCAATATTTTAATAATATCTTAGGGTAGGTTCTCAATTGGGTTTTGTAACGGCAATAAATGTTGAGTGTTCCTTTCAGGTAATCTAGTTCTAAATCCAAGTTCAAGGGCAATTACAGGAACTATGGGTCTATATCGCACGCTGGGCAGACGTTTCGCACATCTTAATCAATTCATGCCCAAAACGAATTGAGACAACCGCTCCATTTTGAACGTAGTTGGATCAAAACTACCCTAGGCAGCCGACTTTCTTTGGCTGCAAGGGAAGGGGCAGTGGAGTCCGAGGACGACATTCATACTATAGGTGTTAATGGCATCTGTAAATGCATGAATACCACTCAGACCTGCCTAATGGGCTTCTTGACCTAGAGGCTCTTTTTTGTAGCGCCTGGACCTCTCTCTCTAGACCCTGCAGGATCTTTCTGGCACGCTTGGGTGGGCTAATTTTATCCATCATATCATGATTTGGATGACTTCTACGGTAACACCGAGCAGGTTTTAATATCATCTATAAATGCATGAATTACACTCAGACCTGCCTAATGGGCTTCTAGATATAGAGGCTCTTTCTTGTAGCGTTGTACCTCTCGCTCTCTCTCTCTCTCTATACCGTGCAGGACCTTTCTGGTACGCTTGTGTGGGCTAGTTTTATCCATCATATCGTGGTTTGGATGATTTCTACGGTAACATCGCACGCTGGGCAGATGTTTCGCGCATCTTCATCAATTCATGCCCAGTTGAACCAAAACTACTCTAGGCCGACTTTCTTTGACTGCAAGGGGAGGGACAGTGGAGCCCGAGGACGACCTAGACCTAGAGGCTCTTTTTTGTATCGCCTGGACCTCTCTTTCTCTCTCTAGACCGGGCAGGATCTTTATGGCACAGTTGGGTGGGCTAGTTTTATCCATCATATCATGGTTTGGATGACTTCTACGATAACATCCGAGCAGGTTTTAATATCATCTGTAAATGCATGAATCCCACTCAGACCTGCCTGCCGTGCAGGATCTTTCTAGCACGCTAGTGGGCTAGTTTTATCCATCATATCATGGTTTGAATGACTTCTACGGTAACATCCGAGCAGGTACTGTAACGAAACCGTACGGGAAGGTGTCATGAGGAGGCACTATGTCGCAGTTCTCTGGGCAGCATTCTGGTCGCATAGCTGGACACAGACCGAGCTATCGCTTTATAAGAGGTCAACAAGATCCTGCACTTTCAGATGTGTTGTCATTCCCGCAAACCATGTGTCCCTTGATATAGTGGCGGAGAGACAGATCGGTGGCGGATGAAGTTTTCAAAACCCTAACAGAACCATGGTCCGTGATTTTGTTCGAACTCGGCCTGGACCAAATGAATCCGGAGCAGTCATTTAGGGACATGTTGCTCCCAAAGCAGAAGCACTTTCAGCTGTGTTGTCATTCCCACAGACCATGTGTCCCTTGATATTGTGGCGGAGAGACAAATCGGGGGTGGATAACGTATTGAGAAACCGGACAGAACCCGAAGCAGTCATTTTTGGATATGTTACTCCCAACATAGAAAAATAAGCACGAACATATATGCACAGAGGTATCAGCCGAGGTGTTTGACTAAATTGCTTTCGGGTCCTGCATCCAATGTGGTGGAGCAATTCTTGACGTTATATATAACACTTGGTTTAGTTTTCACTTCGTTTCCTCCCCATTTTGGGTGTCACCTCTAAAATCTGAAAATGAAAAAAGGCTTCGCTCTGTAACAACAAGAAATGTGAAGTTGTTTGTGTCAACGAAATCGGAAATGAAATCGGAATGATTGCATTCGTATCAAGAATCAAAGAATATCAGGGAAAGTATTTTGCAAAAAAAAAAAAATGGAAGCAGCAGAAACAGGTTGTTCTACGAAACAATTTTAAACCGCAAGAGAGTCCGAAAGGTTACTGCGGAAAATTGTTAGAAAAACTCTTGTTTTTTTATAACCTAGACCACAGGGTATTATGTCTTTCACTTTCTGAGTTGATCTATGTATGTCAGTCCCTCCGTCCTTCTGTCCATGTATTTTTGTGAACAAAATACAGGTCGCATTTATTATCCCATTGAGATGAAATTTTCCGAACAATATTTCTTTGGCCCAAGGACGAACCCTATTGAAATTGGTGATAACCGGTTTAGATTTGGATATAGCTCCCATATATATCTTCAACCGATTTCGGGTTAATTGTGCACCAAATGACCAATATAAGTCCAAATGACCTGAATTTTGGTATATCCGACCGAATTCGGCTTTGAAACAAGTACTACATTAAATTTGGTGAAGATCGGTTTAGGTATATCTATAGCTCCCATATATAAGTTTCATCCGACTTGGTGTTTAAGCCCCCCCACATTCGTAATTTGCTTTCGCCAACAATGATATTTGGTGCCAGATACCTTATAGAGCTCGGAAATGCCTCTGCTTAATTTTATCAAAATCGGTTTAGATTTGGATATAGCTCCCATATATATCTTCAACCGATTCCGGGTTAATTGCGCACCAAATGGCCAATATTTGTCCAAAATTCGCGAAATTTGGTACGTCCGACCGAATTTAGCCTAGAAGTAAGTACATTAAATTTTGTGAAGATCGGTTCAGACATAGCTATAGCACCCATATATTGTTTCATCCGATTTGGTGTTTAAGCCCCCCACATTCGTAATTTGCATTCGCCAATAATGATATTTGGTGCCAGATACCTTATAGAGTTCGGAAATACCTTTGCCAAATTGTAATTTGGTTTTATTAGGAGAAACCATTTTGGGGAAACCATAACCTAATTCAGGGCCCTTGAAATGTGTCACTAAATGCCTCCATCGCTCAGATTTATTGATGTGATATGTCACCTTTTTAAGACAATTATAAAAAAACGACAATTACTTGTTTTTTTTTTTTTTTTTTTTGTATTCTATTCCCATATATTTTCGTTTTCCTTTCGATGATCTTAATTATCATAACATTTATTTTTTTTATTTTCCGCCAACATATACTCTATTCAAAGATATTGTAAAAGCAAAACAAATGGTCGGAAAATGCGCATTTTTTGTCCAATTCAAATTCAGTTCGTTACGAAAATTGATGGTGAACGGAACGATTTTTAACATCATCATATAAGGCCCTCAGGCCTTATTTAGCAGCTATTACCCAGCTGTGTATTACTTAACGAACATCTAAGGATTTGAAACAAGAAAATAGAAAAAAAAAAAAAAAAAACAACAAAACACACTACACCGAAATCATCATCCACGGCGAATCATAGGAAATATTCAATTTTGAAAATTTCACAAAAAGGAAAACGTCATCATGGCTGCCATGGAATTGGAGGCATTGTTCTATAGAAAACGTAATATCGTTTATGCTTTTGTACGTCATCGTTTCTTTTTGATGTGCAAACAATCGGTAAGCATAGCAGCAGCAGCACTGAATGCTTGACATGTCTTGTGGGTGTTCGTATGTCTGTGTGTCCACCGTGTGTATTAAGTGCATGAGTGAGTGAGTGTCGCGAAAACAAAAGGAAATCCGAATTTCCTCAAATGATTTTTTTGCAACTACAACGGCAGCAGCAGACACTGAGGTGATGATCGCCACACCGAATCACTTGCTGATTGCATTGCATTTTTTCTGCAATGATTTGAATATTTTTCTTTGTTTCCTTTTTATTTGTGCCACACTAGACCACAGAGATTTTTTTTGGATTCATATATCTTGCCATTACAGTAAGGCGACGGCAGGAATTTTGTGTATAGATCCAAACCGAAGCCACTCTATAGCAAGTTTCTATGGATATTAAAAATACCTTGAAAAAAATTACAGTCAAAAATTCGAATTGGAACTCGATAGTCCCGATTTAAGAAAATTCTCAACGATTCTGGAAACAATGCCCATTAATGAGACAATAACAATCAAAAAAGTTGTAAGTTCGGCCGGGGCGAACTTTGAATACCCTCCATCGTTGGAAAAAATTTGGCAATTTCCAAAAAAAAAAAAAATAAATAAATAAATAAATCCGTTCAAAATTCTGTTCAAATCTTAAAAATATGGAATGCAGCCCTTATATTAGGGTCTATACGATGACGTGGACCTGCATAGGCAACTTTTGTCATAAGTCATTAAAATATTCAAATGCGAAAATTGATCAAAAATCGGTGAATAATCTAGCTAAAATCATTAAAATACCGAATATCGGGAGGAGCCGAAGACATGGACCTGGACATACAATTTTCTGCCTTAGGCTGTAGAATCCATTATGAACCTCAAATACCAAATTTGAAACAATTCCGGTGAATAATGTCGCTAAAATCATTAAAATACCGAATATCGGGAGACAGCCTTATATGGGGGCTATACGAAGACATAGACCTGCACAGACAATTTTCTGCCTTAGGCTGTAGTATCCATTACGAACTTCAAATACCAAATTTGTAATAATTCCGGTGAATAATGTTGCTAAAATCATCAAAATACCGAATATCGGGAGGTTTTGTTAATTGGGGCTACACGAAGACGTGGACCTGCACAGACAATTTTCTGTCATAGGCTGTAGTATTCGATACGAACTTCAAATACCAAATTCGAAACCTTTCCAGTGAATAATGTCGCTAAAATCATCATATTACCGAATATCGGGAGGTACCGTTATATGGGGGCTATACGAAGACGTGGATCTGCACCGACAATTTTCTGTCATAGACTGTAGTATCCATTACGAGCTTCAAATACCAAATTTGAAACCTTTCCAGTGAATAATGTCGCAAAATTACCAAAATACCGAATATAGGAAGGTACCGTTATATGGGGGCTATACGAAGTCTTGGACCTGCACCGACAATTTTCTGTCATAGGCTGTAGTATCCATTACGAACTTTAAATGGCAATTTTGAAACAATTCCGGTGAATAATGTAGCAAAAATCATTAAAATACCGAATATTGGGATCTACCGTTATATGGGTGCTCTACGAAGACATGGACTTGCACAGACAATTTTCTGTCATGGGCTGTATTATCCATTACGAACTTCAAATACCAAATTTGAAATAATTCCGGTGAAAAAATGTTGCTAAAATCATCAAAATACCGAATATCGGGTGGTACCGTTATATGGGGGCTATACGAAGACTTGGACCTGCACAGACAATTTTCTGTCTTAGGATGTAGTATCGATTACGAATTACAAATACCAAATTTGAAACGATTCCGGTGAATAATGTCGTTAAAATCATAAAAATGCCGAATATTGGAGAGTACCGTTATATGGGGGCTATATGAAGACGTGGACCTGCACAGACAATTTTCTGTCTTAGGATGTAGCATCCATTACGAACTTCAAATACCAAATTTGAAACAATTCCGATGAAAAATGTCGCTAAAATCATCAAAATACCGAATATCGGGAGGTACCGTTATATGGGGGCTATACGAAGACGTGGATCTGCACAGACAATTTTCTGTCATAGGCTGTAGTAGCCATTATTAACTTCAAATACTAAATTTGAAATAATTCCGGTGAATAATGTCGCTAAAATCATTAAAATACCGAATATTGGGAGCTACCGTTATATGGGGGCTATACGAAGACGTGGACCTACACAGATAATTTTCTGTCATAGGCTGCAGTATCTACTACGAACTTTAAATGCCAAATTTGAAACGATTCCGCTGAATAATGTCGCTAAAATCATCAAAATACGGAAAATAGGGAGGTATCATTAGATGAGGGCTATACGGAGACGTGGATCCGCACAGATAATTTTCTGTCTTAGGCTGTATTATCCATAACGAACTTCAAATACCAAATTTTTAATAATTCCGGTGAATAATGTTGCTGAAATCATCAAAATACCGAATATAGGGAGGTACCGTTATATGGGGGCTATACGAAGACGTGGGCCTGCACAGACAATTTTCTGTCTTAAGCTGTATTATTCATTAGGAACTTCAGATACCAAATTCGAAACCTTTCCAGGGAATAATGTAGCTAGAATCATCAAAATACCGAATATTGGGAGATACCGTCATATGGCGGCTATACGAAGACGTGGACCTGAACAGACAATTTTCGGTCTTAGGCTGTAGTATCGATTACGAATTACATATACCAAATTTGAAACGATTCCGTTGAATAATGTCGTTAAAATCATAAAAATACCGAATATCGGGAGGTGCCGTTATATGGGGACTATACGAAGTCGTTGAGCTGCACATACAATTTTCTCTCTTAGGCTGTAGAATCCATTATGAACTTCAAATACCAAATTTGAAACAATTCCGATAAAAAATGTCACGAAAATCATCAAAATACCGAATATTAATACTTTGGATAACGCGGATGTTTCCACGTACTTTGGATAAACTTTTTATGACATTTGGATAACACGGATAATGTTCACTTGCACTTTGGATCACATGGATATCTTTTTCATGCCATTTGTACAACCAGGATAATATTTCCTATAAAATGGATAAAGTGGATAATTTTTCCTTGTGCCTCGAATAACATGGATAATGTTTCCCCGTACTTTGGATAACATGGATAATGTATCCACGTACCTTGGATAACGTGGATAATGTATACAGATACTTTGGATAACGCGGATAATGTTTCCACGTATTTTGGATAATGTTCAAATGCACTTTGGATTACATGGATAACTTTTTCATGTCATTTGGATAACACGGATAATTATTCCTAGTAACGTGGATAATATTTCCCTGTACTTTGGATAACATGGATAATGTATCCACGTACTACGGATAAGGCAGATAATGTTTCCATGCCATTTGGATAACGTGGATAATGGTACCACGTTTTTTGAATAACGTGGATAATTTTTCTCTTCATGCATTTTTGTAATTTAATTTTTTTATTGGGCCGGGTAACCGACAGCACAGTGTAATCATGATCTACAAAAAAATCAAAAAAAAAAAAAAAAAAATCAAAAAAAAAAAATCAAAAAAATAAAAGGAACGAAACAAAACAAATCGAAAATAGTGGTGCACATGTTGGCAACGTTAAAGCATTTTTTTTTTCCTATGGCATGGGACAAAAATAACAACGTCTTCCCACGTCGGCTTGTAAATCGATTTGATTGTTTGTAAACAAAAATAGATGTAATTGTCATCATTAATTGCGTGTTTTCTTCTCTTTCACTCTTTATCGTGATGTTCATGATCCTGACGCCGACCAGTTGGTACGTGTGCAATCTCCGGAAGGCATTAAACGCATTGAAATCTCACCCAAGGCAAATCTAAAGGATCTTTTCGAGTCGGTGCAAAAAGCCCTTAAAGTAGATGGATTCGGTTTGTTTAAGGAGAGGAATCTCACCAAGGAGGTAATTTGGAAAATCCTTACCAAACTTGGCCGTAATTATTTCTTGTTTTTATTCTTCCATTTTAGATCTATTCACATACGTCACAAGAGGTGGGAAGTGTGCTGAAACATGGCGATATGATATATTTGAAACAAATGGCCGGTACTTCTTCAAGGGTAAGAGTTGCCTTCGAATCCTTGCATCCCAAAAATCTCGATTTCTTTTCCATTTATTTCTCTAGCGTACCAGCACCACAGCAATTGATAACTTCACCAGTGCAAAAGCCATTACCAACTCTGCAACAACAACAAACAGCAGTGATTTTAAACCCTCAGCCGCTGTCAAAGAGGATGAGGTTGACATCTTGCTGGCCAAGGAGGATGGGCTAATAAAACGTGAAAGAGATAGCAAATTGTAAGTTTCGAAAATATATCCGCATGGATATTGTTCTCATTAAGTTTGGATATCGTGGATACTATTTCCATGTCATTTGGATAAAGTGAATAACGATTTTATGAGTTTTCAATATTGCGGATAATGTTTCCATGTAGTTTGGATGATGTGGATAGTACAGGGTGAGATAAAAAAACTGCAACAAAGTCAAACGCCATAATTTTTAATTTTTTTTTTTGAGTGAAAGCAAAAAATGTCGGTGATAGCATCAAATTTTAGAATAAGTCTTAGATTTGTTTGAATTGGTCACCTTTGGCACCATTCATGGCCTTCAAACGGCCAATGAAACCATCATACTTTGCCCGAATGTTGCTCTGCGATATTTGGGGCCATTCCCGGCGAAGTGCTTGCTTGAGGTGATCGATACTTTAGTATTTTTTAGTGCCAACCTTGCTTTCTCCAGAAATACTCCAGACACAATAGTCCAACGGATTGGTATCGGGAGATTTTGGTGGATACTGTCCTGTACTGGAAATGAAGCGAAGAACCTCATTTTGTAACCATTCTTGGGTGGCGCGTGCTGAGTGCGATAATGGAGTCCTGTTGGAATGTCCAAGGTCTGCGGCCAAAATGTTTGCGTGACCAAGGCTTTAATACACCCTCCGGAATATTTTCGCAATAATATTCGGCATATATTCTGATACCACGGTCGATAAATACAAATACGAGCGCAGAGCGACCATCGGCTGTTATGGCATTATGGCCCACACTATCACCATGGCGGGCGCTTGTGTTCTGGTGGCCAACCGAAGGTGCACATGTTTAGCTGACCTCTTTGGCAAGTAAACAGGATCATTTTGTTTGTTTAGAAAACTGCTGGACAACTGTGGCGAATTTTTTCTCATCGGAGAAAACCAAATTCGACAGTTCATCACTTTCGGCCAAGCTAAGCAACTCTTTAGCTCTTTTGAGTCTATTTTCTTTCTGTTGCGGTGTAGGTTAGGTTAGGTTAGGTTAAAGGACGCGCGGTTACCATATGGCAACCGCTCTACTCGGAGACCTATAGGTCATTGTGTTCATCCTAAAAAGAATGTTAAGAAGAGAGGAAAAAGTGATTGGTAGAACAGGTGAGGTGAGGTGATAAAAGGTAAAGTTGTAGAATAATTGAAGGATTAATATAGGGTCAGTGTTAGAAAAAGAAGACAGGTCATGTGACACTAGTTCTCCCACTAGCCTTTCTTTTGGGTATGGTGCATCCCATTTGGTCCAGCCATTTTTGTTGGATTTTCTCAGAGTAATGTCTGTGAATAACCAGTAGGAAATGGCACAGTGGTGGTTTAACCGAGTTGTCTACTTCAATTGTAGTTGATTCGGATCCTAGTCTGGCCAATTCGTCTGTAGTCTCCTTACCTGGGATGTTATAATGTCCAGGTGTAAGTTCTTGCACTTTTTGGAATTTCAATGGCTTTAGCGCGAGCTCATTTTTCAATATTTGCTGAATAGAAAATGGAATATTGCGATATGTTCAGCTCACGAGCCATTTTTCGGCCACTGCGACGATCGATCAAGTCGCTTTTTTACTTTTCGAATCATTTCTGCTGATGTGGCCGTTTTTTCCGTCCACTTCCTTGACATGGGCTACGGGTTACCAGTATCACGGTAACGAGCGATGGTACGAGACACAAAAGATTTATTCACGTTTAAATGCTGGAGTGCTCTAACGATAGCCACTTGTGGTTTTCCAGCCAAATATAAAGAGGCCACACTATCACGCTTCTTTCTGGAAAATTCTCACCAAAATGCTTTTGTATGCTTGTAAACAATATAATGAGCTGGAATAATTTTAATAGCTATCTTAGAAATGACTACAGTCTGAAGTTGGTTGCAGTTTTTCCATCTCACCCTGTATTTTCAGATCACTGGGAAAACGCAAATAACGTTTCCACGTAGCTTGGATATCAAGGATAATGTTTCCAGATCATTTGGACAAGGGGGAATAATCTTTTCAGATCATTTGGATAGCGCGAATAATATTTCCGTGTAGTTTGGATAACATGGATAATATTTCCAGATCATTTGGAGTTTGGATAATTTTTCCAAATCATTTGGATAATGTGCACAATATTTCTGTGTAATTTCCAGAACGCGGATAATGCATCCTTATAATTTGAATAACTTTGATAATATTTCCATATCAATCGATTAACCTTTATAATGTTTGCAGATCATTTAGATAACAGGGATAATATTTCTAGACCATTTGGATAACGTGAATAATTTTTCCAGATCATTTGGATAACGTGGATAATAATTTCATGTCATTTTGAGAATTCGGATGTTTTCATTTCACTTAGATAACGTGGATAATATTTCGAGAACATTTGGATAACGCGGATAATGTTTCCATATAGTTTGGATAACATGGATAATGTTTCCATGTAGTTTGGATAATCTTTCCATGTAAATTAATTAACGTGGATAATGTTTCCAGACAATTTGGATAACGTGGATAAAATGTCCATATATATTTTAGATAAAGTGGATCATTTGGATAAAATGGATAATGTTTCCATATAGTTTGGATAACATGGATTATGTTTCCATGTAGTTTGGATAACGTGGATAATCTTTCCATGTCAATTAATTAACGTGGATAATGTTTCCAGACCATTTGGATAACGTGGATAATGTTTCCAGATCATTTGGATAACGTGGATAATAATTTCATGTCATTTTGAGAATTCGGATGTTTCCATTTCACTTAGATAACGTGGATAATATTTCCAGATCATTTGGATAATGTGGATAATGTTTCCAGACCATTTGAATAACGTGGATAATGTTTCCAGATCATTTGGACAACGCGGATAATATTTCCATATCCTTTGGATAACGTGGATAATTATTTCATGTCATTTTGAGAATGCGGATAATGTTTCCAAATCATTTGGATGACCTGGATAATGTTTCTAGACAATTTGGATAACGTGGATAATAATTTCATATAATTTTGAGAATTCGGATAATGTTTCCAGTTCACTTGAATACAGTTTCCAGATCCTTTTGATAACGTGGATAATTTTTCCGGATCATTTAGAACGCGAATAATGTTTCCAGATCATTTGGATAACGTGGATAATGTTTCTAGACCTTTTGGATAGCGTGGATAATAAGTTCATATCATTTTGAGAATGCGGATAATGTTTCAGTTCACTTGGATAACGTGGATAATGTTTCCATATAGTTTGGATAACGTGGATAATGTTTCCATATAGTTTGGATAACGCGGATAATGATTCCAGATCATTTGGAAAACGCGGATAAAGTTTCCAGACATTTGGATAACATGGATGATATTTCCATATAGTTTGGATAACGTGGATAATGTTTCCATATAGTTTGGATAACGTGGATAATGTTTCCAGATCATATGGATAACGTGGATAATGTTTCCAGATCATTTGGACAACGTGGATAATGTTTCCGTATAGTGCGGATAACGTGGATAATGTTTCCACATAGTTTGGATAACGCGGATAAAGTTTCCAGATCATTTGAATAACGTGGATAATATTTCCAGATCATTTGGATAACGCGGATAATGTTTCGATGTAGTTTGGATAACGCAGATAATGTTTCCAAATCATTTGGATAACGTGGATAATGTTTCTAGACCTTTTGGATAACGTGGATAATGTTTCCATGTAGTTTGGATAACGCGGATGATGTTTCTAGGTCATTTGGATAATGTTTCCAGATGATTTGGATAATGTGGATAATATTTTTAGGCCATTTGGATAACGTGGATAATGTTTCCAAAATGTTTGGATAAGTGGATAATGTTTCCAAAATCATTTGGATAACGTGAATAATAATTTCATGTTATTTTGAGAATGCGGATAATGTTTTCAGTTCACTTGGATAACGTGGACAATGTTTCCACGTAGTTTGGATAACGCGGATAATGTTGGTCGATCATTTGGATAACGCGGATAAAGTTTCCAGATAGTTTGTATAACGCGGATAATGTTTCCACGTAGCTTGGATAACGTAGATAATATTTTCATATCGTATGGATAACGTGGATAATATTTCCACCTAGCTTGGATAACATGGATAATGTTTTCAGAACATTTAGATAACGTGGATAATATTTCCATATAGTTAGGATAACCTGGATAATGTTTCCATGTAGTTTGGATAACGCGGATAATGTTTGTCGATCATTTGGATAACGCGGATAAAGTTTCCAGATAATTTGGATAACACGGAAAATGTTTCTAGATCATTTGGATAAGATAGATAATATTTTCTTATCAATTGGATAATGCAGATAACATTTCCATAAAGTTTGGATAACGTGGATAATGTTTTCAGACCATTTGGATAAAGTGGATATTGTTTCCATATGGTTTGGATAACTTGGATAATAGCTAATGGTGGTTTAGATACCGTAGATAATATTTCCGTGATATTTGAAGAATTTGGAAACGTCCCTATAGCTTAGATACAACATTTGAATTATTCCTTTTTTTTCCAGGTGTCGACATGCCGCCAATGGCTGCTGTGTTCACTGCTCACCCCTGGAGCCGTACAATGAAAACTATCTAAAGGAACAGAAAATCAAACATCTCTCCTTCAATTCGTACATACGCAAGCAGACATCGGGCATTGATCGTGGCAAGTATATGGTCTTCGAGGATATCAATTGTCGCATTAAACCCGGCTGCCGTGAACATCCACCATGGCCCAGGGGTATCTGTTCGAAATGCCAGCCATCGGCTATAACATTAAATCGTCAAATCTATCGTCACGTTGACAATGTGATGTTTGAGAATACAACCATTGTGGAGAGGTTTCTCAACTATTGGCGCACCACGGGACACCAAAGAATGGGTTTCCTCTATGGCACCTACGAGGTTAATACGGATGTGCCGTTGGGCATACGTGCCAAGGTGGCGGCAATCTATGAACCGCCGCAGGAGTCGAGTCGGGATTCCATTAGGTTGCTGAACGACGAAAATGCCGAAGATGTTGAGGAGGTGGCCAAGGCATTGGGCTTGAAAAAGGTAATAAATAGATTAAATACGTTATTAAATTTTATTATATATTAATATTAAATATATTAAATATTCTATTCAATATTAATATATATTTTAAATATTTTTTTTTTAATTTTTATTCCTCCTTAGGTTGGTTGGATTTTCACCGATCTCATTACCGATGATCCCGCCGCTGGCACGGTCAAACATATACGTGGCATTGAGACACATTTCCTAACCGCTCAGGAATGTATTATGGCTGGCGAACTACAAAATCGCCATCCAAATCCATGCAAATACGCCTCGAACGGTGTATTTGGTTCGAAATTTGTGACAGTTTGTGTGACAGGTGGGTAAAAATTGTTATTTTTTGATTTCGATACCTGATCTAAATGAGATTGTCATTTCAATTTCAGGTGACAACACCAAACAGGTGCACATGGAGGGCTATGCTGTATCGGCTCAATGTATGGCATTGGTGCGTGACAATTGTCTATTGCCCACTAAAGATGCACCCGAATTAGGTTATGTACGCGAATCGACTGATAAACAATATGTTCCCGATGTTTACTACAAGGTGAGTGATGGGTCCATGCAAAAAAAAAAAAAAAATGGGAGTGGGGTAGGTGCAACAGTGAAAAGGATGAGGCATTTTGGATAGAAGAGAGGATATAAATCGAAGCAAAACGACAAAATCTCGATTTTAACTACCGACGAAAAAAATATTGGGTTTCTTAGCCGTGGATTTTTTTTTTAACATTTTTCAAAGGCCACCTAGAGGTTCCTACGTCACCTAGAGGTACCTAGGCGTGGATTTTTTAAACATTTTTCAAAGGTCACCTAGAGGTCCATAGGCGTGGATTTTTTAAATATTTTTCAAGGGTCACCTAGAAGTCCTTATTCGTGGATTTTTTAAACATTTTTCAAAGGCCACCTAGAGGTCCATAGGCGTGGATTTTTTAAACATTTTTTAAGGGGCACCTTGAGGTCCACAGGCGTGGATTTTTTAAACATTTTTCAAAGGCCACCTAGAGGTCCATAGGCGTGGATTTTTTAAACATTTTTCAAAGGCCACCTAGAGGTCCATAGGCGTGGATTTTTTTAAAAATTTTTCAAAGGCCACCTAGAGGTCCATAGGCGTGGATTTTTTAAACATTTTTCAAAGGCCACCTTGAGGTCCTTAGGCATGGATTTTTTAAACATTTTTCAAAGGCCACCTAGAGGTCCATAGGCGTGGATTTTTTAAAAAAATTTTCAAGGCCACCCTGAGGTCCACAGACGTGGATTTTTTAAACATTTTTCAAAGGCCACCTTGAGGTCTTTAGGCATGGATTTTTTAAACATTTTTCAAAGGCCACCTAGAGGTCCATAGGCGTGGATTTTTTAAACATTTTTCAAAGGCCACCTAGAGGTTCATAGGCATGGATTTTTCAAACATTTTTCAAAGGCCACCTAGAGGTCCATAGGCGTGGATTTTTTAAACATTTTTTAAAGGGCACCTTGAGGTCCTTTGGTGTGGATTTTTCAAACATTTTTTAAAGGGCACCTTGAGTCCTTTGGCGTGGATTTTTTAAACATTTTTCAAAGGCCACCTAGAGGTCCATAGGCGTGGATTTTTTAAACATTTTTCAAAGGCCACCTAGAGGTCCATAGGCGTGGATTTTTTAAACATTTTTCAAAGGCCACCTAGAGGTCCATAGGCGTGGATTTTTTAAACATTTTTCAAAGGCCACCTAGAGGTCCATAGGCGTGGATTTTTTAAACATTTTTCAAAGGCCACCTAGAGGTCCATAGGCGTGGATTTTTTAAACATTTTTCAAAGGCCACCTAGAGGTCCATAGGCGTGGATTTTTTAAACATTTTTCAAAGGCCACCTAGAGGTCCATAGGCGTGGATTTTTTAAACATTTTTCAAAGTCCACCTAGACGTCCATAGGCGTGGATTTTTTAAACATTTTTCAAAGTCCACCTAGACGTCCATAGGCGTGGATTTTTTAAACATTTTTCAAAGGCATGGATTTTTTAAACATTTTTCAAAGGCCACCTAGAGGTCCATAGGCGTGAATTTTTTAAAGATTTTTCAAAGGCATGGATTTTTAAACATTTTTCAAAGGCCACCTAGAGGTCCATAGGCGTGGATTTTTTAATTTAGGCTTTTTTTTAATTTAGGCTTTGAAAAATGTTTAAAAAACCCACTTCTAAGGAATGGTGGGCATTTATTTTACCTGTCACAAAATAGGTACACGTTTTACTATAGGCCTTGATATTTTCCGAAGGTATCTGTTCGACCTGTGTTACTTAATTTTTGCCATAGCCAAGGATTGGAAACCAAAACAAATTATAATGCAGCTGGATGTTTTCTCTGTCAATCGCAAAAAATCCCAAATTATTCCATGGGAAAATACGAAACACATTTTTGGTATTGTTGGTTTTTATTTTTTCAACATTCATTGTCCCATTTATTGTTAGACATTAGACGACGAGACATATACATATACAGTTATATAACAAGGATATTTATATATATATTATTTGTAAGATTTTTTTTATTTTAATTTCGAAAACTACTCGCCCTATTTTTTTTTTGTATTCTTCTCGTTTTTGCAGTTTCTTAAAGTTGACTGCCAAGTTTAAAAACCAAAAGACAATTAGTAGATATAACTTATATCTATTTTTTTTTTGTTGGATATTTAAAATAGTTTAGCGGCTTAAATCGTACCACTTTAGTTCTTTAGTAATATTTCGTCAACTAAGTGTTCATTTTTTTTCAGATCGAAATGTTTTCTTTTATTTTTCTTCTTAGATACATAGATAAATTCATTTTAACATTGAAATGTGTTTTTGATTTTTCATAGTTGTGTGGGTGTGTTTGTTTTTGTATTCTGTCTTCGGGGGATTAGGTAGGGACTGCACACAAATTGGAAATGCATTTAAATTGTTTATAAATAAAATAAATGTTTATAATAAAATGTTGGAAATTAAGAACTGTTCTCGGATAATTTACAAAAGTTACCAAAAATGTACGGAAAATAATAATCAAAAAAATGGAAATTAAAAATGTTTATTCAAGCTTTTGGCCCTTATTGTGGAGGTTCCGAAAAGGTGTCCATTTCGTATCTGACATAAGTCTGATATAAATATTATAAAAGTGCCGGATTTGGATTATATCGACAACTTCATTCGCTTGATATCTTTTGTGAGGAAGGTATCAGAAGGGGTGGAGTTATATATGTATCATATTCACACCAGATCTTGTGGCAGTAAAGATATTGGGATGTGTACAATTTGAAGAGAATTGGATGTTTATTTCGCTCTTTATAAGCGTTTCGGTTATTCAAAACGTTGGCCTCTTTGATCTTGTGATGAGAAATAACATTTAAATTTACCGAGCTTGAAAGGAATCAGATGCTCATTTCTCGTTTTACGGGGCTTCATTGTTTTTTCAAGATTTAGACCCGTTGTGTGGTAGGTACCAGAAGGAGTGAACCGATATATTCCATCTATACACTATATCTTGGGGCAGTGAAAATATTGGGATGTGCAAAATTTGAAGAGGATCGGATGCCTATTTAGTATTTTATGAGCTTCATTGTTTTTTTTTTTTGTTTAATTTCGACCTGTTATGGGACACGTACCTGAAGCAGAGAACCAATATTTTCTATTTTTACCCCAGTTCTTGTTGTAATAAAATTGTAAAATTTGATACGATCGGAGACCTATTTCGTATTTTACGGCCGTTTTTTATTCAAAATTTTGACCCCTTTGTGGGGAAGGTACTAGAAGGAATAGACCGATATATTCCATTTTTACAAGAGATCTTGTGTTGAATGAAATATTTAGATGTGCGGAGTTTGAAAGGAATCGGATGTCCATTTCGCATTTTAGGAGCTTCACCAGATCTGGTGTCAGTGAAAATATTGGCATGTGTAAAATTGAAAGAGAATCGGATGCATATTTCGGATTTTATAATCGTTTTGGAATTGGATGTTAATTTTGCGTTTTATGGGCTTCATAGATATTCAACATTTTGACCGTTTGTGGGGGAGGTACCAGAAGGAGTGGACCGATATATTCCATGCTCATACTAGACCTTGGGTTAATAACTTGAAGACAATCGGACTCTTACATCACTTTTTACAAGAGTTATAATTATTTAAAATGCTTACCCTTTGTGGGGGAGGTCTTGGAAAGAGTGTACCCATATTGTCCATTTTTGCACCTGACCTAGCACTGATGCAAATATTTCTCTTTCGGTGCAGCAAAATATTTTTTTTGAAAATTTCCACCTTTTGTGGGGAGGTACCAAAAGGAGTTGACCGAGATTTTTAATAATAATACATTGTTCCAAATTTGGACCAAATCGGATACACTCTTCGAGAGTTATCGCTAGATCAACTCGAAATGTCCTGAAACGGTTTTGGTCCAAAGAGACCTAGAGTCTAAAACCGTTATTTAATGAGTCACGTTTTGGCCGTATCAAATGATATATATGTACACTTTCTAGCCATATGGCTGAGGACATAAAACAGACTTTTTAAAATGTCTGAAGAGTTTCACCAGACTAGAACTCCATAGGCTAGGGATAGGGTGAACAATTACTCAAATATTTATTTGACTTATATGTGGCATAAAATCCCAACTTTTACCTATAGAGCACTTGCAAGAGTAGAGTGAGATTAAGCCTCACTTTGCACATTCGTTAGTATTTCTATTCCAATGGCTCTGAGGCTTCTGGTGGTAAGAAAACGAGACATTTGCGTTTCCTTGTGTAGAGGATGCATTAATACCTAGTCAATTACTGTGTGCCTATCTTGATAGTTTAACGAGAGCTCCCTGCATTTAATCCGAATTTATTTGCAGGGATTTCACATTCGCCTAAAAGTATGCACATTTATTTATTTAAAATTCGAAGAAACCCAATTGCCTTTCAGAGAAAACGTCTAAAGCCAGAATCTTCAAATCTTGTAAATGGATTCCTTTTGATCCTTAAGTAAGTTACAGGAAATTGGAAATTCGTACCGAAAAAGGGCTTTTCGGGTCAACACTCTTTTAAAGTTAAAATATTGAGATTTCGGGCAAAGAGGCCCCTATATGGTACGAACCATAATACCTAGAGTAATTTTTTGGAAATTCGTAAAAGGTTCCACAAAGCCGTCTTGGGCTTTCTTTCAAATGAAGGCTAAATATTTGCATAAGAAAATTTTAAATAACCAAGTAATGGCAAGATAAGGTACGGGATTTTAAGTACTTGGTAAGAAAACAAGATATTTGCGTTTCCTCCCTTCGCCTAGCACTCAGTACTTTCAGAGCTAAAATATTGAAATTTCCGGCAAATAGGCCCCCATTTGGTACAAGCTATAATACATAGTCATTTCGAAATGAAATTCGTACCAGATTTCACCAACAATGCGCTAAATATTGACGTCCTTAGGCGCTCTTCCAAACCAAGGCTGAAGTTTCACAAAAGAAAATTTTGGATAATCAAGTAATGTTAAGTTATGGGATACATGGGATGGAATTTTAAGACCGTGGTAAAAAAACAGGACATTTGCGTTTCCTCGTGTAGGGGAGCTCTGTT